GAGTGGATTTAAGTATATAGATAATAGACCATATATACCAGAAAACTATGTATTTAAAAGAATGGAAGATAATCTATTGATTGGGGCTAATGGTAATATATTTACAGTACAAGGAAAGAGTGATGTTATAAAAAATGAATGAAATTGCATACGAACTTCATAAGCCTGCAAGAAAGAATTTCATTAGAAGGTCTTTTAAAGTATTAGGTATAAACGAAACTGTACAAATAGATTTAATTGATATGCAAAACTATGCTAGAGAGAATTCTGGCAATAAATATATTTTAACTTTAATAGATACATTTTCTAAAAAAGCTTATGCTGCTCCGCTAAAGAATAAGACGGGTTTGGTGGTTACAGAAGCCATTAAACCCATTCTACCAAAGGGGGTTAAAAACATTCAATCTGACAATGGAAAAGAATTTTTTAATCAATATTTTAGCAAACTAATGAAACAATTAAATATTAATCACTATCACACATTTTCTACAACTAAAGCTGCAATTGTGGAGAGGTTTCAGAGAACTTTAAAGAATTGGTTATATAGGGAATTTAGTGCTCAGGGGAGTTATAAATGGTTGGATTTACTTCCAAAGTTAATTCGAAAATATAATAATAAGGTGCATAGATCTATAGGAATGAAGCCTAACCAAGTGAATATTAAGAACAGTAAATATGTGCATGAGAGGTTGACTTCTAAAGTAGTGCAAGTTAAAAAGCCAAGATATAAGGTGGGTGATAGTGTGAGGATTTCCAAGTATAAACATGTTTTTAGTAAAGGATATACTCCAAATTGGACAGGTGAGCTATTTACAATAGCAGAAGTAAAGAATACAAAGCCTGTGACTTATATCTTGAAAGATGAAAATGGTAATATAATCAGGGGAGGCTTCTATACAGAGGAATTGTTAAAGACCAAATATAAAGACATGTATTTGATAGAAAAGGTTATTAGGAGAAAAGGTGATTTATTATATGTCAAATGGCTTGGGTTCCCAAGTAGCCAGAATTCATGGATTTCCACTAAGGATGTCCAAGGGAGCGCGCCATGAGCCGGGAGCGCGCACGAGTTCGCGTACAAACCTCGCACTGTCAAGTTGATGATTTTGAGAATATACATGTGAATGCATGTGGATTTGAAATAGTAATGAAGTTATACAATGGTATTGATCATTTATATAGGCTTGTATTGGTCGAGAGCTGGATTTTTAAAAAAGTGGTCAAAAAAAGCTCACCATGTTATTCTTATGGGGAAAACGTGCCTAAAGTGATGTTAAACCGGCATATTGGCTCTACTCTACATTTACACTTGTAAGGGTCAATAAATGTAAGAAATAGCTTTTTTAGCTTAATATCAAATATATTTATGGGGAATAAGTAAGAAATAAGGTTTGACAATTATATAGGGATATTTAGGCAAAGATCAGGATTTTTGGTTTTAGTGGCCAAAAAATGATCCCATGTTATTTCTTATGGGAAAACGTGCCCCAAGTGACTTTAAACCGGTAGTTCGCCACTACTAACACTGAGCGCACACGTCAACCCGCCACCTCGTAAAAGAGTGGTGGCGGGTTGACGGGGTGGCACGTTGTTGCCTACGTACGAGGTGGCGGGTTGCCGACATCGAACATGGAGCTTCACGACAACCCGCCACCTCTGATAAAAACTGGTGTTGGCGGGTTGTCGTGGTGACATGTTGTCGTGGTGGCTTATTGACTTGAGTGTGTACGACAACCCGCCACCTCGGAAAATTGTGTGGTGGTGGGTTGTCGTGGTGGCCTGTTGTCGAGGTGGCGGGTTGACCTGTACGTACACGTCAACCCACCATCTTGGTTTTTTTGTGGTGGCGGGTTGACGCCTCTGACCAAAACACCGAGGTGGCGGTTTGACGTGGTGGCGCATTGACAGCGACCCATAGTTGAGATTGTCCAGGGTCAGGTGCTGACTGTGATGAGTTGAGCCATTGACTATACACCTCTACCGGGCTATACACCTCTACACCTAACCTATAGTAGAGGTGTATAGTCGATGGTTGAGCCTTAAGCGCCACTGTTCTGTAGCTGCGGTCGTTCTCACGATTACGCCTCCTGTCTATGTTTCGTTTTCGTCGCGTTGGAGGCATTTAAAAGAAAAAACAACAAATAAACAAATTATAGCTACACAGAACAACGATAAATGCGCAAATTTAAGTTACAATCATGCTAACACGATCCGTCATAGCGACACAAAACAACGATAAATACACAAATTTAAGATACATCCATACTAACACGATCCGTCTTGGGGGTTATGTTTACACTAAAACTCAAATAGTAAATAAATGTACTCAATGCGTTTCATTAAATTGAAAATAAATAACAGCAATTAAATTATACAGCTGATCAAATTGTAAACAATTATGTTCTTCATAAGGATAACATGGGAACTTTCAAAGCCACTGGGGCAGAGCCCAAGGGACTTTTTCAAAAATGTAAGGCCAGTTTGCAAATCTACGCGACACGCTCTTTCCAATGAGACGTCAATGGATAAAATCGGTTAAGAAATGGCGGAGGAGTTCAACCGACAAAGTTTCATGTAGCGTATTAATTATATAGATATCTTCGGGCCTGCATTGCTATTTGCTTAATAGCCTCTTAGAAAAAGCGTTGACCTATGGTGTGATTGTGGCTTCGTCTTGTGTATTTTCAAAGTTTGAAGGAGATTAAAAGTTAAATTTTATGATCAGGTTTTATGTTATTAGATAATAGTGTATAAAAAGTATTACAGTAAAAACAAACTAAGCAATAATGCATTCAAGTTGTTCATGGTTTAAGGAAAATAAAACAATATACAGCCCGAGGCGAAGTAAAGTGGCGAAGCCAGATTTTTGGATAATCTCTTCACAATTATAGTTCCTTGGTACAATCACTATATTCTGTTAGGGTTTGAAAATCCAACTTATGTCACTGTAGAAGGCATTCTCTACTACTTCATTTTCATAATACCAATTACAGTAGGTTTATCGAGTGGGTGGGGGGTACAATTCCACCCCGTACACATTTGGCTTTCTGATGGGGGGTACAATTCCAGGGGGGTACAATTCCACCCCGTACATAAATATTTTGATGTTGGCAGGGGGTACAATTCCGGGGGGTACAAATCCAGGGGGGTACAATTCCGGGCCGTACATCTCCTGCTCTTTTTTATATCTAATATAATTATCCGGTTCACTGATCACTTGCCCACATTAAATAGATTAGATTTCGTTAAAATCAAAGTGTACGGGGTGGAATTGTACCCCCTCTAGGCGTGACGTCAAAATGACGTCAACGATCGCCGGGGGGTACAATTCCAGGGGGGTACAATTCCGGCGACCCGCCGCGGCCTGGTAGAATTGGCAACGTTGCAAGTAGTGTTGTCTAGTGCCAGACGACCGTTAGATAACATGGCAGATAGGTAACAGCAGCTCATTAATTCGTGTATTATTAATTTAAATTTATGAACATAAATTTATTAAAAGATTGAAAATCAAACATATAGAATTAAAAACAAAAAAATATTTAAGTTGAAGATATATTTTTATACATTTAAAAAGTGGAGTCATTATTATCAAACCCCAGTAACCAAGCTTTTGTATTTTAAAAAAATGCACAAATACCATTAACTGCCTCCAAAAGAAACAGCTGTTACGAGCTCTTACAATAGGTACTAATTGCGATGTTTCCACTTCGGAGTTCAAGGTGACCGTGACCCAGCCCTTCCACCCTACCCTTTATATGTTATTCACATTTTTTGGGTTTGCAGAAAAATAAAGTCAATAACTTATGCATATGGTAGTTAACTTCAGGTAAATAATGCGTAAATTGAAACATTTTGTACCTAAATTTTATCTATTTTCTGGCGAAGGAAGAAAGACCCCTATTTGTTATTACTTGCTATTACTATTTATTATCACTTTGTTATTACCATTGTTATTACTTTTCTAGTTAGTAATATTGCAAATGCCATCTAAATTGTTACACATATTTTGTAAAAAGGTGCAATCCGTTGGGAAATAAATAAATACATAAACCCCGACCCCATACGATCAATCTAATTACTTGGACGTATTCTGAAAGACCCTCCCAAACCCCCCCCCCCCCCTGTGGAAAGGTTAGATGGATGCAGATACACGTGCCCATGTAACTTAAATGTACTTTAAAATAATATAATTTTAATTAATGTATTTCAATAAACTTTCAAACTCGGACCATGTAGGACTCAAATCGTGCGTATTCTACAATAAGCACATTCTTGATACTTATACTTGCAGTTGCACTAAAAGGATGAAACAACAATTCTGATATATTCCATTGTTAACCCCTTATAATGCAATGTTATTCTAGTTTTTAAGAGTTTCCTTCAATTCAAGCAGAATAAACACCGAAATAAATCTGAAGATAAAGAGGATTAATGATGCTCGAGAAGATGTCCTCGTCTCCACTTAGTAAGAGACAATGACATTTTTATCTAAATAATATTAAAATCAGTTTTCTTTTATTTCCCAGCTCATGTCTCTGGAAATATTTATTTATTTACATGCCAATTGCTTACGCCAATATTATTAGTAAGCACAATGGATCATGGTATGGAACATAAACAAATGATGTTACTGGCCCGAAAATTTACATTATTATCGCTTGAATTGAACCGTCTAAACCATTATATAAATGTTATTATTCGTGCCAGTTTCTTGCCGCTTTCTCTCTCTTCTAATATTCGTGTTGAAGGACAAGGACACGGTTTATGACAGCTGCACTTATTTACCTTCAATACGATTACACCATGCTCAATGGGTTACACATATAAATTTCTGTGAAATCCCAAAGCAGATATGGAGGGTAACTAGGGAACATGTTTTTGCTGACGTTTGGTTTTTTACGGTGGCTTGTTTGTTCTTATTTGATTCCATGTTAACATTTGATACAATTTTGTTAATTAGGACATACTATTTATTTTCCATAATAAAGTCTTTTTCGTGGAACTTTGTGTTGGCAGCCTGCTTCCTTATTTAACTTTAAGTTTCTCTTTTCTGGATGAAGGAAAATTGAAGGCAAAAACTTTTCTTGTTCTTCTTTCCGCTTGTGTATATTCTTCTGCACATCAAGTGTTGTACAACGTACACGTGTAAGTAACACTTATCTAGTAAAATATATTATTTTCAACGATTTTATCTTCTTTTTAAGTTATAATATTATTTTATTGACATATTATTACTTCCCAGATATTGCAGACAGGTAGTTATTATAACAATTTTAGGATTTAGTGGCTGAGGTTATGTTCCGATCCCGAGCTTTTGACCGTCTCTAAAGAAACACGTTTCCCACTCAATAATATAGGGTAGTATTATTTTTCTTTATCATCGTGACCTACACAATATTGGTTATAAATTGTTTATTGGGGATATGTAGTAATAGGTAGGCCTAATTAACTTTGTTGGTTTTTTTAGGTTAGGCCTAAAAAGCGTCTTAGATGGTTGCACCATTGAAAGTTTGCACCTTCTTGATCTTAATACGTTTTACATGTAACGAGGTGTAGAGCCACAAAAGTATTCAAATGTCATTATTATGATACTAAGATTTCAATCCCAGGAATGTCAGGTAGATCACTTAAATGGCTGCTGGCTATTAGGTAGGCCTCGGGCATGGGCTCACCCTGTACCTCATTTCAAGACCGAAACTAGGCTGTTTTCATCATTACTTTGAAATTGCCATCGGTTTCTATGAATGATTTCCATATCGCATTAATCTTACGGTACTAAACATTTCTTTCAAATCAACTTTAACGGGCGCCGTGGCTAGGGATGAAAGATTAAGTTAACCCTTTAAGTGTTACGCGTTGCAAAAGTGACACACCCGCTTGGTGCTATGCGTAGTTTTTGAGACAAACATCGTACACGACGAAGGCTCTGGGACTGACTGAATCGGATTGTGAGGATAGAGATTGACATTACGGTACCTCTACCTACCTATAGCCGGGTTTACACGATGCCAGTTGGCGAGACAATTGTCAGGAGACAACTGACTGGCTTGGAATTACTGGCTTCGTGTAAACACTTCAGGCCAATTGGCAAGCCAATTGGCCCGCCAACTGTCCCGAAATTCAGTTGTCTCCGGGAGTAGACTGAGGACAATGAGCTGGGCCCAGTGAGGCCCCCACCCCTCAAAAACCCAGTTGTCGTGACAATTGGCGCCGTGTAAACAGTGTAGAGGCCAATAGCACTGTCTTGTCTTTTGGCAGTAGTGCCCTGGTTCACTGTAAAATGTCTGGGCAAGTGTTGGTCACGTGTAAACAGGTTCTCGTTCAACTTGCCTGGCCTACGACAATTCCAAAACCACGTGATGCCAATTGGCAAAGACAATTGTCTCGCCAACTGGCATCGTGTAAACCCGGCTTATCATTGTATTAATCATTCGGCAGATTCAAAGCTGCCTGATGTCTGTTTCTTGTTGCTTTTCAGTTTAGCTCTAATGATAACTTATTAAGTTATTGTTGCAGACAACGATGTGACGTGCATAGCCTATTTGCAAACATCTTGATTAGGCCTAACCTAATGACTGTGTGTTTAATTATGTTTATTATTGTTTTTAGCGATCAAAATAAAAGTACCTATAGTGTCAACTTATGGTGCATTATAAGAATATTTAAAGCCCCGTTCACACGGGGCGAGTTTACAAGCTACAAGCCGGATTTTTTACACGCATCTAGTAAAATAGCTCAGTGTGAACGACGTACTCGCTCAAAAGCTGCTTGTAAAAAAGCTCTGGAAAAAGTTGATGCTGCCGCTACTTTACACGCCAACTCGCCAGCTTTTGAGCGAGTAGGCGTGTAAAGTAGCCCAGTGTGAACATAGTTGCTTGTGCTTGTGCGCATGTTATTCGAAGATATCGGAGGATTTAGTTCAAGCCAGCTACTGAGCGAGTGGAAAAAGCATCGGGGTGAACGACTACAAGCGCACTCGCCGGCGTCTTTCTACACGTCGGCGAGTTGGCAAGTGGACAAGCTCCGTGTGAACAAAGAAGCACACTTGCCAACTCGCCAGCTTCTTACACGCCGGCGAGTAGTGTGTAAACTTGCCCTGTGTGAACGAGGCTTAACTTAAGTGGGCATAGAAGGGCTGGTTGATGATCCTGAAGAAGTAGGACAGTATTAAATTATTCTTCAGATTTATAGATATGGTTACATTAGGCTATGCATACTTAGCTAATTGCTAATTGTGTAAAATCTGTTTTTCACCCATAACATCTTATTTAGGCCTACCTATGTATGTTATTTGCAAATTTACTCCCTTAGGCCAAGGCTATAAGTTATGATTATATTTTTGGGATCCTCATTAAATTTAGAACAAGGTAGCTAACTTAGGGCCTATTTTAAAATATTTTTAGTTTGGACCTATTAATTAGGCTAGGCTATAAAACTTTATCAAGCGAAAGCCAAATTTTTTTGTCTATTCTTTCCGACTCTTCTTTGATTTTATAACCAGCCGACCAGGCATTCACACTGAATCCTTCTCAAATCCCACTCATTGAAGTAACTTACATTTATACAGTTAAGTAATACTTCGTAGTAAGTTCATCGTTGATTTAAGTATGCGCCCTTATGTACTTCAGGTATAGATGTTGGGGTTCTTTCGTATTATATGGAGGCCACTTAATTTACAGTGCGCTGTGGCGGTTATAACTTAAGTTAGGTTGGGTTATCATAAATATGTCTGAAGGACTTACCTCGTTTTTTTTACGAATTGAGCGATACCAGATGAGTCATAAGAAGCTTATGATAGCCTAACCTAACATAATCGCCACAGTGCACTATATAAGGGTGGCCTCGGTATTATATGAAAGTACCAATGTGGGTTTACATTGTAGATACCTACTGTAATTAACTTTTTTAATGTGATGTTAAGTTTTAATTTAATTTGTTACGTGTTTACTGGAACACTATGTTTGAAGTAATAACATGGCCATAGGCCTAGGCCTATATGATTATTGTGTTGATGGTTTTTTTTTACTCTTTTGAATACAACAGAGTGTTCTGCGTTGCTTGGTAAAGAACCGAATAAAACTGATCAACCGTTTCCTGTCGGTAGCCTAACATGGGTTATGTTTGTACATAACCATTGTACAAACATGTATGTTATGCGTACAATTACCCCCACCCCTTACCCCCTATTAATCCAATATTTCCCTGTCATAGGCATGTGTTAGCTTGCTACGATGCTTTTTAAATAGGTATAGGCACTTTTGGTGAGTGTGATGAAAAATAAATTTGATTAGAATGTTTTTTGCGGACCCCAAAATCTGCTCGTGGACCCCTAGGGGTTCTCGGACCACACTTAGAGAAACTGACATAACATATTCAACACAACATAACCTTTAATAGATAACCCAAAGATAAGAGGCAATGAATACAAATCCTTTAAAAAGCAAAAGGCTTATGGAGAATAATGGTCAGACTGGAATTTTGCTGCCATAATGAGATTCGGTTGGTTTTAGGTTTTTGGTTTTTATCACTCGCACGGCGGCCGCAATACTTTCTCTCTCTCTCTCTCTCTCTCTCTCTCATTTAGTCAGCTTACTTGCCCCCGCACTCACGATAGTCTACCTAGCGGCTGCCGTGAAAACCATCTAAAATTAAAATATTTCCAGACTGAATTTTTTACAAAGGCATTGCTCTTCTTAAAGGGTTTGTATTCATTGTACGAGGTGATGTTTGAAAATGGAATCCTGGTAGAACCTATGCCAAAATGAAGGCTATGTCGTTAATAAATTAATATACAGTTAACTCTTGATTATTCGCGGGATTGACTGGCATGAATACCGCGTGTAAGCCGCAAAACTGCCGGTAATGGTTTTCAAACATAGGTCGAAGGCACTAAAAACAACACACAAGTATTTTTAAATAAGTTAATTACACAATAAAAGATCGTACCAGATAACAAAACTGAATGACCACGCAAGACGACCTTAAAGGGCAATATATGAAATGATGGATAGTTTTGTGCAAGGTTTCTCGTCATGACAAACATTTTAAGTATATGGTTTGTGGGGGTGTGACTTGAAACTACATGGGTACTTGGGATTAATATATGGATATAGAATTGTAGATTTTTGATAAATATTTAACCAAACAATTTTTTTTTGTACCTAATGTTTTATCTAGTGGGGTTGTGATGGCCTATTCTAACAAAAGACATTTCGCCTTATGTTTCTGTACATGGAGGTTACTTTAGCACCGGATTTTGTTATCCATCTCTGTATAGGGTTTGCCCTAGGCTTAAGTTGGCTTACACACATTTTGTATTAGTTATCCTAGGTTTGTGATACAACAAGTATGATCACATACTGATCACAACTAAGCCCAATGACTATGCACAACTAAGCCCATTAATCCAAAGACATAATTGTTAAAAGTGTCTTTATATAACAAACTTAGCCTAAATGTCAATGTTTTGTTATAGGAACCCTAAACATGCGTTACCTGGCGTCGTACCTTTTGGCCGTCCTGGGAGGCAAGGACAACCCAAGCTCCGCGGACCTGGAGAAGATCCTTAACTCTGTCGGAATTGAAGTCGACAATGAGAAGTTGAACATCGTCATCAACCAGCTCAAGGTTGCTTTTGTTCCAAATTAAGCATTGTTTTTCTTGGTCTAGTCTATTAAAATATGTTGGGTAAAGTCTCAAAATAAAGCAAGTTGATTTTCAATGTCTGATTCATGACAAAACTTTGAAAGGAACCTTCTTATATGTGAACAGATAGTTTGTTTAATTTACGTGTACAAGTAGAACATTACAGGAGATTGGACACCTAGAAGGTTAGCGGGGTTGTACTGTACTTCTCTAATCTTAAATTATGCCTTTCATGTAGCCTACTGTGAGCTTTTTTTTTACTCTATTCATCATCATTAAAGGGTTTTTTTATATATCAATACAGTAAACCCTCGTTAATCCGGACCCCATTAATACGGACTTCGCTTAATCCGGACAGCCATTGGATCGCAGTTTTAATGCGCAGAATGCTGATTAGTAGCACGCGATCGTCACTGTACGACTGCGCCCGGCGATGTGAGTGTGCCGAGTGCGGGCGGATGGTGGAGGGGGCAGTCACAGGCAAGGCGTACGTGCCGTTGCCATGGTTACTGTCACAGCGCAAGGCGTACGTGCCGTTGCCATGGATACTGTCAGCCAATAGTAGCTCAGTCACACGATTGTGTTCCTCCTGCTCGTGTCAGGCCGTCAGTTGCTCCACAGAGGTCACAGAGGTAGCACTGCTGTGTACTGTTTCTAACCATTACGTTTTAGTTGCGTTGTTACGAGTTTTTGTAATTGTGCGTGGGTTTGTGTGTAATGTGAACTGTATTTGAGGTGTGTTAATGTAAGATTAGAAATGTCTTTAAGTAAACCAGTGGATTGTAAAAAACGAAAACACGTGTCTCTGTCTCTTAATGATAAATTGAAAATTATAGAAAAACTTGAAGATGGAGCTACTGTTTCAAGCATTTGTACAGAATATAAAATAGCGAAACAGACAGTCTCAGACATAAGAAAGAAAAAGGACAACCTGAGAAAATTTGTTCTTAAGTTTAATGTTGAAAAAGAGGCAAGTTCAGTGAAAAAAATGCGTCTTCCTTCAGATCCATCCCTGGACGATGCTGTTTATAAATGGTTTTGCCAACTTCGTTCTTCTGGAATGACTGTACGAGGGATTGAAATTCAAGCTGCTGCAGAAAGATTAGCTAAACAGTTAAACATTACAGGCTTTAAAGCTAGTTCAGGATGGCTGTTCAGGTTCAGAAGGCGCCATAACATCACAAACAAAAAAGTCTGTGGAGAAAGTCTCAGTGCAAATGTTGATGAAGTTGAGCCATTCAGAATTCAATTGGATGAACTTTTAAAAACAGGACAAATACAGCTGTCACAACTCTACAATTATGATGAGACTGGGTTGTATTGGAGAGCATTACCAGACACAACCCAAGCCTCTAAAGCTGAAAAAAACACACCGGGAAGAAAGATTAATAAGGATAGAGTTTCTGCATTGTTATGTGCAAACGCTGATGGAAGTCACATGCTGAAACCTGTGATTGTGGGTAAAAGTAAACAGCCTCGGGCTATAAAGAATGTAATGGACAAGCTACCAGTGCACTACTTCAGTTCAAAAAGTGCCTGGTTTACTTCAGACATCACAATGGAGTGGTTCCACAAAAAGGCAGTGCCAGAAATTATAAAACATCAAACGGAAGTTTTAAAAATTCCTAAAGATGAAGTGAAGGGCCTAGTTTTACTTGACAACTGTCCTGCACATCCATCAGTAGAAAAAATGACAAGTGAGGACGGAAAGATTAAATGTATGTTTTTGCCAGCCAACACTACATCATTAATCCAGCCTATGGATGAAGGCGTTATCTACGCAGTTAAACGCCTATACAAAAAGAAGCTTTTGCATGAAATTTTGGAAGTCGAGGAACCAGCTGAAGGAGAAGAAGACAGAAGAGGTGAAAAGACATTGCAGAATCTGAAAGAGTACAACATCAGATCGATGATCTTCAATTTTGCAGCGGCTGTGAGAGAGCTGAAGCCATCAACGATAGTAAACTCGTGGAAGAAGCTTCTCACTAATAAAGATGATGAGCCGGACACCGCTGGGTTGGAAACTGAAGATTTCCACAACGCTCTTATCAATGGTGGTGAGCGTGCAGTTACCCTAGATGACATTGAGCTGTGGTTGGAAGAAGATGATCAAGATCCAGGCCACCACATTTTGACAGAAGAGGAAATTGCTGAAAGCGTAACAGTGGCAGAAGAAGATGACGACGACGACGATGAAGCAGATGACATAAATCCCAAGCCTAAACTAAGTGAAGTGAAAGATCACATTGATTGTGTCATTAAATATGTTTCCGAAAGTAGCAATGAGCAGGTCTCTGGATATTATGAACATTTAAGACATTTGCGCCATCTCATTGTACAAGAAATTAACACAAAAGGAAGGCAAATGAAGATCAACTCCTTCTTCAAACCAGTGAAACCAGTTCAGTCACGTGAGGACAAACCTCAACCCTCATGTTCAAAGTAATTTTGTCTTTTTTCGTTGTCTCATTTTTTGTATGGACGTAAGTAAATACCAAGTGTATATTTTTGTTCAAATGTAACTACTGTATGTACTGTTTGTACAATATGTATTTTTATATTCAGAATATACATAAAGTTTATCTGCAAAAGGTGTTTCATTATATACCAGGGGTACCCAAAAATCACTGTCTTTCTTCGTTTACGATTATTTGTTTTAATCCGGACTTTCGTTAATCCGGACGACTTGGAGCCCCAATTAGTCCGGTTTAATGAGGGTTTACTGTACTAATAAATGTTAGGCCTATAGCCTTTAATCTTAAATTATGCCTTTCATGTAGCCTCCTGTGAGCTTTTTTTTTACTCTATTCATCATCATTAAAGGGTTTTTTTTATATATCAATACTAATAAATGTTAGGCCTATAGCCTATCGACTATTGGTACAAGTAGTGAAAATTTTGTTCTTTAAGTTAGGTTATGTTAATTATTTACATTACCTAACCATTAAAGAACAAACCGTTCGTACTACTTGTACCAATCGTCGATAGGCTATAATATTAGTATTGACATATAAAAAAAAATCATTGATAATAATGAATAGAGTTAAAAAAAAATTCCCAGTAGGCTACATGAAATATATTGAACGTTGTAAAAAAACAATGCCTACATTAATGAAATTAAAATTTTATATTATAAATGACTTAGGCCTATAGCTAGCTAACTATAACGACATACTGACATACTTATTGGAGTAAGAATGACAAAACTAATACAGACCTAGTACATCGATGTTTATTTTTCTATTTTTGTTTGACGGTAAATCTCATTAACATTTTGTTAATGGAATTATTTTATTGTTCGTAAATACTGAACAATATTAGTTTATCATAGTTGTCAGCTGATATTTTCCAATCCATTTATATCAATATATCAGATCAGAAAATAAAATATCAATATATTGAAAAATCATCGATAATATTGATTGTTCCCTTTAACAGGAATGTAACTTTTTTCAAAGCCTCACGTTATTAGTTAAAAATCACTTAAATTGTATATTGTACCCCCCCCCACAACACCTTTGAGGTGTACTTATCAATGTGTTTTTTTATAAATATTGTTGTGTATGTCTAGGGCAAGAACATCGAGGACCTGATTGCCGAGGGCAGGGAGAAGCTGTCTTCGATGCCCGTGGGAGGTGGAGTTGCTGTAGCAGCCGCCCCTGGAGCCGCCGCACCTGCCGCCGCCAAGGAGGAGGCGAAAGAGGAGAAGAAGGCCGCCAAGGAGGAATCAGATCAGTCGGACGACGACATGGGCTTCGGACTGTTCGACTAGGCTAGGATATGTTTTAGGTTTTTCTCTTGTTAACAATTTATTTTGCAATTTTTTATCTCCCGTTTTATACTTGTTACTATTGAAAAATAAATTATTAACAAGTGAGTTTTGTCCTTATTTTCCAGATGTTTGATTCAATATATTGCTTGGTTTGAATTTAGTTCTGAGCAAAGTGCAAACTGTGTTTCCTCAACCAGTCCTCACAAGACTGTGAGTTTGGTTGAATCAACGATATAAACAACTCATGGATCGCTGGCTCAGTGTTGGCCGCGCGGTCGAGCTTCCCCCACCATCTACTGGCAGAAGCCGACGCAGCCCATACATTCACCATTATAAAACACTTTTTATTTGATGCTCTGTTGAAATTTATAAGGATAAAATATTGCTAACGCTTGTCAAACTCTTTTTACTCGTTAAACCTCTTATGTCTGTTTTGTTTCTTGCAGAAAATAGCCCATCTGAATTCTTTAAAACTACAAATTCACTAAACTCGTTTTGTTGATGTTTTTAGACAACTGATATTGCTAGTATAATAAGTGATTACAAAGGAGAAATAGAGAAAGTACAATATTTGTAATTGAATTCTATTTTATTAATCGAAAAAATAGTACATAAACATTTAGAATAATTTTGCTAAGTTTTTGGCGCAGTGGTAACGGTATTTTTGACGTAAACGCGATATTTTTTCTTTCAATGTTTAATGACAATGTATCTTACAAAATAGGTCATAAACAAGTATGCCTATCACGTTAATGTCAAGCATAGATTTGCGGTAAAAACAACAAATGTAGTAGGGTGTTTAAGAGTTCAAATGTGTTATTTTCTGCAAGAAAAGAAGAAGACGTAAGGTTTAGAATAGTAAAAAGTGTTTGGCATGCATTAGCAATATTTTATATCTATATATTTAAACAGAGCAGCAACTTAAAAAGGTGCGTTTTACAATGGTGAGTGTATGGGCTGCGTCGGCTACTGCCAGTAGATGGTGGGGGGAGCTAGACCGAAAATAGCGCCCGCAGTGCTACTGAGAGCGCAATCCAGTAGGTTTTACATCGTTGGGTTGAATAACCATAAAAAGGTTGGTTAAAACAGTAATTGGGTCTACAAATCATACATACTTTTTACTACCCCACATTTTAAGTTTTGTTGAAACTTGTAAAAGGTTAACTGAATTGTAGAAATGTCATGCAATTTTGTTATATATGTTGTATGTTGTGTTATATGTTGTTAATAACATTACATCCCTTCACAACATTTTTGGTGGCTATTTTTTTTTGTCTAAAACCTACACAAACAAATTGTGTACTATTTATTGTTAAGTACTGTAGTAGGCTGTGAAAAACGTAAAAATAATTGTTCACCGATGGAAATGTTCTAAGCAATATTAAACGTAAAAAAATAGCTACTTACCTTTAATATCGTTTTTATTTTAAAGCTGGCATTTAAGAGAGTCTAAGACTTGAGTTATAATCATCTCTGTGGATTTATAAATGGTGAATTTCCGATTTTTGCTATTTTCATGAGCTTCAAGACCTTGTACAGGCACCCCCTTTAACTTTTTAGGATTTTTTTATCTGGCTGGTTTAAGTGCTTGCCTTACAATAAAGGCAATAAAATAAAGGTTGCTGGTTCGATCCTGAGGTGAGGTTATTTTCAAAATCAAACTCAATTACTAATTCAAAGGTAGTTTATTATCACAAATAACATATTTACAAACACAGGTATACATTAAACTTAACTTATACAACAGCAAAACTAAGTCCTTTGTTCCGAAACAAGCAATTCCTTGAAGCCACTTCTACTTAAGTGCATTACAAAATGGTTACATCTATCTTTTACAACAATAATCATTTTGCTTAGTTGCTGAGGTGGATACATGGATAATCCTTTACAATAAAAAATTATGATTTGTGAAATTAATCTTTTGCTAAGATTATGATGATATTCAAAAATAGTAAATATTTCAAAAGATCGTTAAGTAACGTTAATTACTAAAACATTATTGTTCTTTTGATTGCCAAATTTATTTTTTACTAAAAAGTATTTGAAATCCACAAGAACATAGATTGAACTTGTCATTTGATTGATTAACTAGAGTATAAAAATTATGTACTTAGGCCTAAATTGTAGTTAAACATAATTTTTAAGTTGGGGTGTTGCGGAAATCTTTGTTTCTGCTATTATAAGAATTTTAAATCCATGACAGTACATGAATAGTCAGTTTTAAATTGTTTAGGGGACCACAAGAAAGTGCATAAGGTACGATCATTAAAGTAATCAATTGTCATAATCATAAATAATTTAGTATTAGATTGTCTGGGTGTGGTCCGGAGTGGTTATAGTTCTCGCCTTCAACTGAAATTCGCTGGTTTGATTCCAAGCAAGATCGTTACTAGGTCCAGATGTTTTATCATCGGGCTAATAATTAATATGGAATTACAAAAAGGTTGATGCTAGATTGTAACAAGATCAGGGTTTTGACCGTGTTCCCTCGTAAAATGTTAAAATATCCCCGCCGCAGCAAACCTGCAGACTAAGCGAATTTCTTTTTTCCTGATTTGATTTTCACTTAAGTCTATTAAATGACAATAACATTAGGTTTAATGATCACCTCTAGTAGCTTAAGCTTACTATAAAATAAATAAATTTGCCAAGTTTAATCAAAATATAGGCCTATGCATAAACAAGCAAACTACAACAGTTTACTTAGTATGTGTAACCAATAACCATACAAAAACAATTCAATGTAATAAATCATTTGTTTTTAAGCTCTTCTAAATAGTTTAGAAAATTTTATATTTTGAGGGTTGAAAATTGGGAAATCCATTTTTTTTAAACCCGTTCCCATGGTCCAATCAACCTAATTCACGAACTCATTCAAGTTTATCCCGCCCTACACCATCAAGCAAAATTTCATCAAAATCGGACAAAAATTACCTAAGTTATTGCGTTCACAGACACAATATAAATATGGGATGGAAAAAAGTCCCATGACGGTTAAATATTTCAAAAATTAATAAATATAGAGCTTCAAAACTTGTACAGTTGCTGGACATTAAAATAATTTCAACCCATTATTCAGTGGTACGTCTAAGGGGAACGGCCCTTAGAGTCGGAAGAAAATCTTAAATGTAAGCATAGGTTGATATGCACCTCAAATTAAAGGCCTTTACTAGTAGAATACAATGCCGCAAGTTTTAACACAAACGGACAACCGAGTCAAAAATGGCAGCCGTTCAAAGATGCATTGAACTTGCAATTATATTATACGCTACATCCTCAGGGAGGCACCCGCTAGAAGTCGGATGAAAATAAAAAACTTATGCATAGGTCGCTATGCACATCAAATAAAAGGGCTTTATTAGCGGAATACAATGCCGCAAATTTGAGCTCAAAATAAAAACTGGATTAACCACCTCCGCCGCAGCTAACCCTACAGGCTAAGCAAATTTCAATTTGCCTGATTCGATTTTTACTCAAATATTTCCGTAAACAAAACATATTTATGCCACATGATGTAATTTAACGAGTGCCTAGGTTTGCTACTATGGGGTACGTAAAAAGTGGTTTTTGACCAAACATCAATGGTATACAAAGAAATAAATTTGCCAAATGTCAAAAACATAATATCAATAAACATGTAAACTACAATCGTTTTCTTTTTCTCCATAAGAATAACATAGAAATTAAAATGTAAAGTAGGCCTATTTGGAATTTTCTCTGTTGCCTTTAGCTGTACAACAATCTTTCCATAAAATACAAAATTACTTGATTTTTTAATGGCTTGATGAAAATTTGGCATTTTCATGTCAAATGGGATAATTTTTGAAAATACAAATTTTTGAAAATTTAAAACCTCATAATACCCCGTTTCTATAACCAGATCTTGCTGGTTTCCAAACTCGTTAAAGTTTATCTTGCCGTACACCTTCAAGCCAAATTTTGTCAAAATTGGACCAAAATTACTAAGTTATCAAATTCACCATAGAGAAGTAAGTTACAGAGGAAACATTCAATGGTACACTAAAAAGGTGTCTAGCACCAGTCGCTGGAGTCTAGAGCAAATTCTATTTGTCGTCCCCTCATGCTCTCCTTTCCCCCCTCGTCTTCACGTACTGACCCTGTGAGCTAAAAAACTGCTGTACAAAAATGCTATGTGGCCATCGCCGTTACGGCTCGTCTTTGCTCGGTACAAGTACATTTCCGCCCCAACATACCGGAGCTAAAAGCGCACGGTTGTCCCATAAGCTTGTATCCTATGATCTTGCTACTCTGTGCATTCAAAGACACACATATATTATATACAATCTAATCTTACTATTATTATAAATGTGAAAGTTTGTGTGTTTGTTTGTTTGAAGTTCAATCATGCATTAACTACTGGTCGGATTGAGCTAAAGTTTGGTATGATGATAGCTACTTTCCCGATTAACATAGACACACTCTTATTTCAAAGATCCTTTCGAGCTCCCCCCCAGTGGCTCTGGAGATTCCCATGTTAACCTTATTAGTGTTTTCTCCGTGTCCTTCCTCATAGCAAACACAGTGGACAAATACATAAATGCAATAAGCATTTTACCCCGTACGAATATATGCCAACCCCGTACGAAGGACGGGTACTATGCTTCAAATAGTGTTTTATATTATATATTATGACTCACATATTATGTTCTGTATAAGATATGTTCACTGCATCAGTTTGTTCACAGTACAACAGTTTATGAAGCTTAGATTTTGAGTTCCTACGTGGAGAAAATCAAAACCAACATGTAAAATTTATTTTACTGGTCCCATAAACTGCACTTTCTGGTGATCCTGAGTATATTTTGTGTTTTATATCACGATTACATTATATAAAAAAAACATACAGACTAGATGGAATAGGATACAATAACATCCCCACTATTTTATAATTGTTAGAACCGGTATGGTTTTCCTGCATTCTGATCCGTCATTGGGGAGGGCAGTTGTGACTAATTGATAAATAAGTATCTAACATTTTTTGGGAGATAGCAGGCTTACCTAAATGGGAAAGTGTCCAAACTGGCACAATAAACACAGAACTTTACTCTATATACACAAATTATAATAATTCACTGTCACTGACAGCATTTTCAACTAAGGAAGAGCGTTTTTTAAACTCTCTTCCTTAATTGTGTATATAAAGTTAAGTTTTGTGTCTCTTGTGCAAGTTAGACTCTTTCCCATTCAATTAAGCCTGCTATCCTCAAAAAATCCTAATTTATAAATAATATGTTTTACGTGTTAACAGAATTAACAAATTTATTGACAGTTCAATGTGACTGGTGAAGGTTAGCAGCACGACCTATCTTGTGGCGAAATGTGGTGAAGGGCTATACACAAGTCGCCGTCAATAGATTAATGATTCTGGCTAAGGTATCGGCTAATCAAGTCGGTAAAAAACTATACAAGGCATTTCTCTAATCCTCCATTCAAAATTTGGGCCAACATAACCAGCGTCAACACTCCAACATATCTCAGCCCTCCCCTCTCCAAATTAAAAATATTAAAATTTTTTCTATATAAATTCAAAACTTTGATACATGATAAATTCATTATTTCTTTGATGAGCTACAAACGGATAACAAATTTTATTGTTGTACTTGAAACTAAGCACAGCACTGTCTAGATTGTGTTGGTAACAATGCCAATGTCTTATCTTTCCCTCGTCATGTAACCCTGCGTATTTGGTGGGTCGAGTCTTTGGTTGGTAGAATCTGTAAAAAAACAAATAGTTTAGTTTTTGATAAAATTTAAGTTTTATGACTTATGAGAAGTTCAGGAGCCAACATTAATACCCCATCCAACATAGCCACACTCTGTTAAACCAAAACCTGGGTTAAGTGAAACTAAAAAGAAATATTGATATGAATAAGAAAATTAAATTAACTTGATAACGGGAACTGTCCCGTGTGGTGTGTTCAGTTGACTAAGACTTAGCGGAGCCACAGAGAAGTAAGATACCGAGGAAACATTCAATGGTACACTTAAGTCGTGTCTAGCACCTAGCTTGTGTCTAGGGTAGAGAAAATTCTGTTGGTCGTCCCCTTCTGCTCTCCTCTCCCCCCTCACCATCACGTACTATAGCACTCACGCTGTAGGAAGAGCCTGTGCACTACAACTGCTGTTGTAAACAATAGCCGTTCGGGCTCTTCCTTGCTCAGTACTAGTTTATTTCCGCCACACCATTCCAGAGCTAAAAGCGCACGGTTGTTCCATAAGGATGTTTCCTTAAGGAATCTTACTTCTCTGTGTCGGAGCAGACGACAACACGGATCTCAAACTGTGCTAAAGTTCAGAAAACAACTGTTCAGTATTTTAATGGATACATTTTGCTTAAAAAGTTAGATTTTAAGGTAACAGTAATTAAAATAATAGATTTTAGAACTACTGTTGTAGACCTCTTTGAATTTGAATAGCCAATAAACTCTAACCATTTATTTATAACAAAAATAGTTTGTGAAAAACAGTCTCGCCCCCTTAATTTCAGTTAGTTGGGGTTATACTGGAGTTGTAGCCATTAAATATTATGGAGGGAGAGGTTCATAGAGTTGGAGGTAGAGGTATCATGGTAGAGGTTTACAGTTGCACAGATTACATAGAGGTCTAACACGATCAACACACTCAACTATAGCAACACACAAAAATTGGAGAAAAACGTCAATGACAATGTTAAAACAATATTAAAACAATCATGTTTATTACAGTATTACATTTTGGGTATATTTTGGAATTACTAACTATAGGGAATTCGGAATGGAATGTTGTATCTTTGATTTGTGATTTTGATAGTAGGCCTAAATGATTAACATCAGTAAGGAAATTAATTTTCCGACTTTGATAATTTAAGAAATATCCCTCTAATCAGGAATCCCAATCGCAGAATTCTTACAACAAATTCTATTATGTTATTAATCGATAAAGATCAAGACTACTATTTTGTTACACGCACCAAATCCGTTTGACTTTTTAATATTTGTTTGTGTTTTTACACTATGTACTCTAAAATTTTACCTCAAATTATTTTTGTTTTGGATCGCTTTTACTAATTAGCAACTCCTTAAAAGTAATCAGTATACCAGTTTAACGATATACCAGTTGATAGAGTGTTCGGCCGAAGTTGAGTAATTCATAATTCTACATCCACCAATCGGTCAACTACGGTTCTTTAATCAGTGTATTTTCTAAAAAATACCCCCAATTTCAGTAAAAATATAACTATCCGAATTTCCTACGATCAGAATGTGGTTCAATTCCCAATTGAATTGCATAACTGGAGTTCTACTCTACATATTACTTATTATATTTAAAATTGAAATACCTGGTCACTCCAAGCCTAGAACGTAGTTGATGCCTTGCACTATGCCGAAGATAACAGGTTGCCACGCTACAAGCCACCGAAGCCAGTCTAACAGCTGACCATATAAAACATGGGGCTTCTCCCAGCTGATCAATGAATTGGAAATATACAATGTAACCTTGCTTGAACAAACACTACAAAACTAACACACTGCTAGGACTAATCATACATCAACATTTATTTTTAAGAATGTGGTCTCTTAACCTTCCATTTGCCCGTCCACATAAGCTATTGACAGTGTAGAACGTATCCAGGTAAGCAAGCGGTGAGCCGGTACAGTACAAGGGTGAAGTGAACTGATAAAATGTAGCGGCAGGTACCACGATCCCAACCCACATCACTGCTTTGTGCCCAAAGTCCGTGGAGTTACCAACTGACTTAACAACCCTTGTAGCAAGTGATGAAACCACATGATTATCGACTATCCTGCGGTAATCTTAACTGGTGTTCATTTTTAAACAACATTGTAAGAAAGGATTAGATCTTTAATTCTATCATGTTAATGAATACGTTGCTCATGTTAATGTATTTTGTTGTTGTTAATGAATTGTTTGTTGTTGTTGAACTAGGATCTAGACCACCGGGGTCTACATCATCACAAGAGCTACTGGTAAACCCAAGCCTCAAGAGCAGAATCCCACGCTCTTACCACTATACAAGCCTCACATTAGTTCCAGATTGATTATTCTCATTAGATGCAAGTTCCACCTTTTAAAATTTAAACTTCACAAACTAGTGGTACTAGTTTTGATCTTATAACCCTTCAAATAAATATACCCAATAGTGCTTTAGCACTGGATGAATTACACTGGCAATGTAGCAAGATGTAAAACCACAAGGTCATTAAACCGTGCGGCAGTTATGACTTGCGTTAATTTAGCAACATTTTCGTGTGACGGAGCAACGAATGCCCCACACTGGCTTAACATGTTGCAGTAACGATGTCAATGCATCCAAATAACGTCATTATTGGCACAGTTGAAAAATATAAATCAGAACATTTTTTACATCTAAATTTACTTTCTAAAATAGTTTTAAACTTGAAAAGTTGAATATTAAGAGAAAAAAAAAGTTCCTGGAAAACCATTTGTATGAAATATGTAGCAAAATTTAAAACCACAAGGTCATTTGACTTAGTGGCAGTTATAAACCATTTCAGGATTAACACAAACGAATAACTGAATACTAAAGTAATCCATTTGCAATCTAGGATGTCTTGTTAGTAACTTTTTTTTAACAATTGAAATAATATATTTTTAAAAATCCATTCTCATTTTTGTATGCCTTTACGGTTTAACACAAAATGAAATATAGTGTAATTAAAACTGTGAAATAGGGCGGTAAGAATAAAAATAGATTGGGGTACTACGGTGATGGGATTGGCAATAAAAACAGTTTACCAACAACATATCATGGATACATCCGTCATTGCATAAGATTATTTAGAACAATTTGACTTCCACTACTACTTGTATGATACCTTAAGTGGAATTGCAAAATAATGAACAAAAGTTTTGATTTTAATGTCTTTGGCCTACAATGTGTCAAAGATGACCAATGTTAAGTCTGGGTTCTTAAACCTAATTAAGTTAGGTTAGGTTAAATTGTAACCTTGCCCATTTGTAAATGACCCCACACAAAACCCCTAGGTTGAAAAATGCATGAACTTCTAACAATAAATCCTCATAACTTGTGGAACAACTATAAAACTTCAACAAAAAGGATACGGATTGCAAAACATCTTCTTGAGATCAACTTTCTCCTTGCAGTAAGGACATGTCTGTTTCTTGCCGACAATACACCATCCTCTGATACAGAACTCGTGGAATCTGAAATCTTATGTTAAGGAAATATATGCGTACACAACATACAAATGGTAAAGCGCTACAACAACTTCAAACTGTTTCAGCCCCTAGCATTAACTATCAGAATTCATTGTACTACTTGTATATTGATTTATATTAAGAAAGTAATTAGTTACCTTTATACTAAATTTTTGGTAGTGGCCACATCTTCAGGTTTATCCTTTTCTACAATTCAAAATCATTAATCAAACACAAAAAACATGTTGAAAAAGACACATTTAACAAAAATACTGTACAGTAGAACACCCACTATCCCAATCTATTGGGACGTAACATATCCGGATGATAAAAAATTTGGATAGTTGGTTTTTACCTAAATATAGTTGGATTTTTACCGAAATTTGGGGTATTTAACAGAAAATAGGCAGAGTTGAGCGACTGAAGAACGTATCTGAGAAGATTACACTATCAAAAATTCATGGAGGAAGATTATAATTTTCTGTAACCGCGGGAGATGAAGGCGTTGTCTACAAAACTGAGGAAGGTGTTACGGATTTTGCCATTTCGCGGAAAATGAGGGCGAGTTTCCGTGACTGTTGGAGACAATGAGACAAGACTGTGGAGGATGTTTAGGATTTTTCCGCTATCGGAAAACGATGGCGAGTTTCTATGACCGTGGAGTTGATGATCATGGCTACAGGACAGTGGAATATATTGTAATTTTTGCCACAATTTTCTTGACTGCGGGAGACGTCGATGATTCCTGCAAGAACGCGGAATATCTGAACGACTTTTCCGTGATCATGGAAAAGGTGGAACATGACTATGGGAGACGATGGAAAAAAAACTGTAAGATACGGTAAGGGTTTTTGATTTAGTCGCTATCACGGCTTCTACCTTCTTAAACAACAATTCTCATTACTGTAGTTTTAGATTTTTTCTGTTTTATTATTTCCGTAAGCGAATAAGATGATTGATGATTCCAATGGTTGGACTTCTACTATACATTAATTCAATCAACTTTGCGGTGCGTTCAAAACATGCCTTTGGGACTTGACTTGAGTAAGTTAATTGCAAGTAATTGTTAAGGATACACATGGTCACAGCTGAGTTTATACGTGTTTTCCAAAACTCCTTCCTCGTTCTCTTGCACCAGTAGTCGGTTGCCACACACGGCACATACGCCGGCCTCTAGATGTCTAGTAGGCATACCATTGGCTGTGTAGTACTGCAAGCAAATCCAAAAAAATGCAATTATAGAAACTTTGATTATTGATAGAACAAGACATTCCATCCCCATGTTAAAGTTGTCGCCAGTTTTTTAAATGAAAATTGAAACAGTTGAAGTGAGCCAGCGACAGATTGCGCTGATGTAAGTTATTGATTTCTGTTGCATAATAGTAGTTTACGCAACGATCACGTAGAGATAGTGTTAACAACACAAGTAGAAAATTTAAGGCACGAGCCTATTCATGCGAGTTGCGTACACTATTTTACCCACAACTGTTTTTTTATTAGCCTACTAATAATCACTACTCAAAACTTCTAAGAGAGGTTATGTTTTGTTAGAGCTTCAGTGCTGAAATCTAGTCAAAGGTTGATTTATAAAACATTTAAACATGTTTCAGACAGTCACTACTGAAATAAAAAACCAATAATTTTCAAACCAGCATAGTTTCAACAATATCCTTACCCCAATATGAGACGCCATCTTATCGCTAGATATTTCCGCCACGTCTTGTGCGAGTACGCCATAGTAGAGTCCGTAGAAGAGGAACAGTAGAGCGACATCCATCCAAGTCTGAGGCTTAGCATCAAACACGACGTTCAGCCCGAAGAACGTCAAGACCATAATGACATATCCGATGATCCCCAAGCCGTAGCTTAGCTTGTAAATTAGGTAAAACCACTTGTACACTAACCTGCAAACAAAAGTGTACTACTAAAATAAGCTATTATGACGGTTGTATCTAATTCTACAGGCAAGACTCTGCTTTCTAAAATCATCACAAAACTTAAATACATACAAGCCAAAGTGTTGAAAGCAAAAATTAAACAAAACGTGTACGGTAATTAATTTTCTAAAACCAAAAGAAAATAGTGCAGCAGAAACTCAAACTAATTAGAGATTTGTTGAGTGAATATGGAAAACTTAGCATCTTTGAAATCAAAAGGGAATAGAGGTTTCATGAAGCCTAAATGTTTAGTAGCCTACCTCACAGTAAAAAGATGATCTAAAAACTGTGAATGCTATATACAATCAGTTAAATAGTGAATCCATGCAGATTTTTCTAACCTTTCCTTCAATTTATTCAAAAGGATTGTCTGTAGTAAAAGTCTTGTGTCCTTGATCCCCTTTATCATAAAAAAATTTTTGACCAGCTCTATTTTTTGGCCCCACGGACACAAAACATCACTTATGAAGTTTTCACTATAAACTGAAAAAGATTTATTGTGAATTTCTGATGGAGGTAAGCCTATAAGGCTCTTTTCCCTTATAGTCCAGTGCAATTAGCATTTGGGTAAGGAAGTTCAAAAAAAAAAGTTGAAACCTGTTGGAAATCATTTATTAAGGTCTCCTGAACCCACAGAAGAAAGTCCCAGAAAATCCCATGGGGACTTTTCCGCCATTTTGAAAAATAAGTCGGCCATGTTGGATTTATGCAAGCGTTTACGGAAATGGGTGTTACTAGTAAACTAATTGACTTAAAAACCTCCTGTTTGAATAAAAATGTCTTGTAAACTCCAGGCTAGATATTAAATATAAAAATACCCCCGCCGCAGCAAACCTGCAGACTAAGCGAATTTCCATTTGCCTGAATTTATTTTAAATGAAATCTTTTTAAATAACATTAGGTTTAACGAGTACCTAAGTTTGATATTACACGTAGCCTAATAAAATGTGTTTTTAGTAAAATATTAGTAGATTAATATAAAAAAGATAAATTTTCCATGTTTAATCAATATATTTCCATAAACAAGCAAACTACAACATTTTACAATATTCTCCGTAAGAAAAATATAGGCAATTTTAAATTTGCAGTTTTTTTAATTTTCTCCATAACCATTAACCGTACAAAAACACTTTGATATACTAAATTATTTGTTTTTTAAGCTCTTTAAAAAAGTCTAGAGAGAAATTGGGAAATTTTGAGTTTTGAGGGTCAAAAATGAGAAAAATGAGGATGATTTAGTAATACGGGAAGTAAATAAAGATACGTCTTATAACACTTGAAACATATATTTACGCTTATACTGTTACTTACAAGGCGGTAAATATACAAAAGATGGTAAGTGGTGATCGATTTCGATTGGACACTCCAATCATCATCAGAGCCAATAGGCGAAATTGGATTTAGTAATACCAACATTTCAAAAAGAGTTCTCTGCTAACCCCACCAACAAATCAAGATTTATTTCACTATTAACTGTACACCTCACAAACGTGGGATGCCAGGTTTCACAAGCTACATCTAACGCAGACACTCTCATTGTTTCAACAGCTCTGCATATTTCCCCAACCAAGACATTGGTACTAGTGGGACAAGAAAGATACCTTCTTTTATTGTTGATTACTATCACTCGATGCAACTCGTATTCACGCTCATTTCTGCCAAAGGAAACAAACTTTACCACATTTTTAATATTAGGAAACTGCAAGAAGGTTTAGGTGAGTTACAACATTTTCTTTCCTGCTACACGCATTCACGCAGGTTGCGGTACAATCTATGTCATATTCAGCAAAGGAAAGAAAGCAGCCTAGAAGAAGCTCCGAAACGATGCATGACTTCGGGAATCCGATCCGTCAGTATAGCCCATTCAATGAAGATAAATCTCCTCAAGATTGCAGCAGCTGGGGAGTAATTCTTTCTTAAAATATATGGTGTTAGTAGAGAAATAACTGACCTTAACATTGCAAGGCACCACATGTACATAAGAACGATAGCAAAGCAGAGACTTATAATGTAATGGCTATAGTCAAAGAAATATAGAATATGACCTAAAAAGATTGCAAGATAATGTTTTAGGGTTTTATTTTGTAGTGTTGAGTCTGCTGATTGATATACTAAAGGTTGCCAAAAATCGGTCAATGAGAAACCCCCTAAAATCATTATCAAAAATGGTGGCTTTTCCCAACATTGGAAAAATAATAAAAAATGATTCCACATGCATCTTTTATGCACATTTTCGAGATATTGACTTAAGATCACCACCAGTATTTATTGGGTGGTTAGTACTTCATTTCGATAGGAAACACGTTTATGGCCACCATCTTGGATCCGCCATATTGGATATACATATTGTTTTTATGTAATGATAGTTTTGTGACACATAATTTACAAAACTAGATTTTCATGCTAATTTCAATGCGGGAATCCGTTTTTATTTATTTTTCGTTTTAAAGAAATTCAAACGAAAACTCTTCCCCATACATTTCTTATAGATGTTTCGTATTTTTATCATTTTTTTTTAAATATCTCCAGTTCTTATTAACGCTTGCAGTTCGTTAAAACCTTAAAATATTCAGTAATGTAAGGGCTTCCATTTGAGTTATTGATCATTGAAATCAGACGAGTTAGGGACCCGCTACGAACAAAAACACAAAATTAAATCAAAATTAAATTAAAGTTATAGTCTAAAATAATTCACCAAAGTATTGACTTTTATTTTAGCTATGGATTACATATTGGGAGTTATTTAGAATAGGAGATATCTGTATTTAAGTAAAGAATAATTTCAAAATTATAATAAATTAGTGTTAAATTAAATTATTACAACTTAAACTTTAAAGGATTTAACGGAACTTAAACTGTTGCCATTAAAAGTAAAAAAAAAATCAATTAATGCACTCTTGTCTGCATTAAAGTGGTTTTTGATAGGTATTCTAAAATATCCTTCCTCACTTCTCTTTTTGAAAACACTGTGGGTACACAATCGAGGTTCACTAAAGGTCCAGAATTTCCTCGTTTTCTATCTCTTCGATGAATAGGATCTTCAACACTTGGCTCTTAACGCTAATAGTGAGAGCAAAATAAATTTTTACACAGTCAGCAACCAACTGTTGAACTGAATAGACGCATTCTTTGACAACGGGCCTCTAAGCGATCGACGCTCAGCGATCATCGCTCTGCGTCAGACGCAACAGACGCGCCTTGGACAACGCAGCTTTAGTGCAAATTTCAACCTCGGCTCTATTCCCCCAACCAAAGCAGCAGCCCTTCAATACACCCTGAGAGCTTATCATCAAATTCAGCAGTGGAAAGGTGTTAATCTCCCAGCTACGGACTGGGGCCGGAAGCTAAGTGCTAGTCAGGGTCTAATACCTGTAACAACGCTTCAACAACCTGCTCATCAAAATCTACTTAATCTTATATTCTGCAACAGCAAAGGCAATTGCGAGAAGTATTGATTGTGCCGAAGAAGCTCCTTATCTTATTCTCATATGTGCGGTGTGCGGACTCTGTGCAGGATTTGGGTGCGGTAATACACTACCAGTTACTGAAGATAAACTTGACGACCTGTTAATCTAGTGGTAATATTAACTAGTGAATGATCCAGTCTACTATATCCACAACGTTCAAACAAAACTTTGGAGCTTTAAGGGAAATGTGACGAAAACTGCCAGGCGAAAATGTAACGAACGCTTCAATTGGTTCTTGAGTAGGATGGTTAAAATATTTAGGTAAACCCTTTTAGTGTATTTGAAAGACAATTTTATTCTCTACAATTTGTATTAACAGTTTTCCTTATAACAGCAAACCAAAAGGATACTTGGTGAAAAATGCTAATTATTAGTTACAATATGTCAAAATAAATAAGTTTTAAATAAGTAAATAAAAGTATAAAAATAAAGTAACACATTTTAGTGAATTTCCCCATGGGGAAGTAGTCTTGAGTAATTTTTGTTTGATTTTGACATAATTTTGTGTGAAGGTGTAAAGCGGGATAAAATTGAATGATTTCGCGAACCATCATGATCGGACTCTGGGAACAGGGTTTTACGAAGGGGTTTTATGGGATAGAATTTTTTTTCAAATTTTGACCCTCAAAACACAAAATTTCCTAATTTCTCTCTAAGACATTTAAATAGCTTACAAAAAACAAACAATTCAGTATCCCAAATTGTTTTTGTACGGTTATTGGTTATGGAGAAAATAAAAAAAACTGCAAATTTAAAATTGCCTATGTTATTCTGACGGAGAATATTGTAAAATGTTGTAGTTTGCTTGTTTATGGAAATATATTGATTAAACATGGAAAATTTATCTATTTTATATTAATCTACTAATATTTTAGTAAAAACACATTTTATTAGGCTACCTGTGATATCAAACTTAGGTACTCGTTAAACCTAATGTTATTTAAATAGATTCCATTTAAAATAAATTCAGGCAAATGGAAATTCGCTTAGTCTGCAGGTTTGCTGCGGCGGGGGTATTTTTATATTTAATATCTAGCCTGGAGTTTACAAGACATTTTTATTCAAACAGGAGGTTTTTAAGTCAATTAGTTTACTAGTAACACCCATTTCCGTAAATGTTGCATAAATCCAACATGGCCGACTTATTTTTCAAAATGGCGGAAAAGTCCCCATGGGATTTTCTGGGACTTTTTTCTGTGGGTTCAGGAGACCTTAATAAATGATTTCCAACAGGTTTCAACTTTTTTTTTTTAATTTCCCAAATTTTGCCATTTTGGAGCTAATTGCACTGGACTATTATGCTTGTAAAAAATAAATTCACAATCCTTTCTCAGAAATAAAGTCAGTGATGGCAGCCATCTTTAGTTGGCTTTGGCACTGCTTGAGGTTGAAGATGGCTGAGTGTGAAGAGCATCACTTAATTGACTTGTTTTGTAGCCTCTAGATAATGTTATTTACAAATAAAAAGGTTAAATACCCGTTGTTTTTAGCGTCAGTGAACCAGGTTTGTCCGGCAACCAAGGTTCATTTTCAAGCAAACCAAGTAGTTGAAAAAATCCTCTTCTTCCCTAGGACTATGAAGGTTCGTCATTAACACTAATAGGAAAACTAAAACATTGAACACAAAATTTGCCAAATTGTAATACTTAGGGGCGGACACATAGAAGTCATGACTCACCTTCTGATAACTACACCCCGCTTTCGCCCAAAAGTATTACAATTTTGCATGTTTTTTGTTAAAGGTTTTTAAGTGTTTAATGACAAATCTTCATAGCCCCAGGAATAAAGAGGATTTTTCCAACTACTTGGTTAGCTTGAAAATCATAATCATTATCAATTAAGATAGGGACACCACCTAGGTGCGTATTTTAACCCAAATATGAGTGGTGTGAGATGATCTGTGTAGCTTTTTTTGGGAGCGTTTCATAAACTCCAAATTTCACAAACTCCAACGCTTAAAATATTAAATAAACAGAGCGGTTCATAACCTCCAAATTTCATAAGCTCCAAATCTATAACATTCAAATAATCACTGTTTCACAATGTCCAAGTTTCACAAACTCCAACGTTTAAATATTAAATAAATAGAGCGGTTCATAATGTCCAAATTTCATAACCTCCAACGGTACAGTCTGGGCCAGAAGTCTCTACAGTGGTTACCACAGTCAGATAGCAGGCACCGTTCGCCAGCGCTCAACTACTGATTATACGTACATTTTAATGATTGAAGAACACTCAGATGTGTGACTCAAATATGTGTTAGCACACAATGTGCCAATCAAATTTACATTTTAGCGAATTTCCCCTATAGGGAATAAGCTATTACCGTAGTACTCATGGTAAGACCTGGTCCCGGGACCGATTTACTTTTTCGTTTTGAGGTCCCTAGAGACCAAAAACACCATCAGTTATATATATATATATATATATTTATATGTGTGTCCGTTAGCGCGATAACTCGAGCAAAAATCATCCGATTTGATGAAATTTGGTACAAACGTGTAAACCTACGTTTATTCGAACGAGTTCGCGAACCAGCATGATCGGACTATGGGAACTCTTAAGAATATATACTTATACTCTTAAGAAAGCAATTACGGAGCAACAATGATACTTCGTGTTACACCGCTACAACAGTAGAACGTGTAGCGCCTACATACCGAACCACGGCAACCTCTGCAGCGACTTCTGGCAGAGACTGTACCGTTGGAGCTTATGAAACTTGGAGGTTATGAACCGCTCTGTTTATTTGATATTTAAACGTTGGAGTTTGTGAAATTTGGACATTGTGAATCGGTGATTATTTGAAAGTTATAGTTTTGGAGTTTATGAAATTTGGAGGTTATGAAACGCACTGTTTATTTAATATTTTAGACGTTGGAGTTTGTGAAATTTGGACATTATGAACCTCACCCCTTTTTTTCCGACTAGATCAGCTGTTTCATTAGCCAGGATCATTTATTTTAATGATCAGGGACGGCTGGGTCCAGATTTCAACCGTCAAAAAGCTACTTACTTTTCTCAGGTTTGATCCGGTAACTTTTTGATTGTTAGGCGAGCACTATAACCACTCAGCTACCCAGCCAGTAATATCCTTAAAGTTTAAAACACTGATCGCCAGACAAAATTTGGATCACTGATGGTACAACAGGTATTCAGCCTTTTTATTTACTGGACATTCCAATGATTTCTGCTGCTCAAATAATTTATAATACTTTACTTTGAAATGGCGACCATACGAATGTAGGTATTTTAAGCCAAGTACGAATGGAGATGAGTGTAGGATGAGTGGCGCGATCTTGTAGTTTTGTTAGTGACTAACGCCTCTTTCACACGAAGCGGCGCGCGCCATATGGCGTCCGCCGCGCGGCGCTGCGCCGGACAAGCGTGTGTCTTCACACTAGTACGGTTTCGTGCGGCGCGCCGTACGGCACTCCTAAATATTTATTATTTTCTGTTCAGTTGTGGCTTTTACATGAATACTCCACTTAAAAGTTCAAATTAAATGAATAGGATAATTTTAAATATAATAAACTAGTGCACCTGTTGCTATTTCCGTTGACGTGTGAGAGTCAACTCAAAGATAATGTAACCAATCACTCCACTCCAGTTATCGAAACTGGAAACAAACTCACTCTGAAAACGAACGCTCACTCCACTCTGCCACGATTGTCACAACTCCATCTATCGAAACTGAAAACGAAAACTCTTGCGTGTATCATGTGTGTACTATGAACAGCTGTAATTAATACAAATTATTCGTCCGTTTAACTGAACAAAATCTTGTCTTCATAAGATATACATTGGGATTTTGATGGCCTGAGAGGCAAAGCCCGAGGACTTTTACTACAGGAATTGGTGAAAGGGGGCGTGTACACAACAAATACTTAATTTTGACACATCGTTTGTAAAACTCGGTTGATTATTAACGGAGGAGTAGTATTTCGTAGAAATCACCTTCACGTATTATTAAGTATTCGTCATATCTGAAAATATTGTATTCTAGAGGTTAAAAAAAATGTTTCATTACGTATAAATTACCAAATTATTAATTTAATACTAAATATTCTCCTCTAGTTAAAAAAGGAAATTTTTTTTTTATACTTTAAGTTGGTCAATTTGCATGAAATTAACATAAAAATATGTTTTGTAATAACTTTAAATATAATATTTTCCAATACAATGATATATAACTTCTTAATTAACTGTTGCACCCTCTTGGTCAGGTAGTTTGCCTAAAATGAGACAGCGTAGGGGTTGGGCCGTGCGGCGCGCGCCGCACCGTGTGAAAGCTCCCATAAAAACCAATGCACCTTCACCGAGTTGTCTGGCGTGGACGCCGTGCGGTGCTGTCGTCCGGCTGAAGGTGCATCCGGCGGTAACTCGCGCGGCGCGCGCCGGACGTAGTGTGAAAGGACTCATATACTCCCATAGCCCTGTGAAAGAGGCGTTTTAAGGCCGATATATTCCTTAGACACAGCTGTTAATTAATAGCCATACAGCCAATGGCAACTAAGGGACCTACAGATTATAGTGGAATCCGAACCACATTTTTGACTTGTAATTAACAAATTGGTCTAATTATCACGATAGTACTGTGGATATTCGTAGTATAGAGTATAATATAGTACAGTCTAACCTTGATATAACGAACCTCAATATAACGAATTCCTTGATATAACAAATTTTTTTTAATCCCCTAGAACTCTCCATAAGAGACTATGTATATTTTACCTCTACATAACGAACAAACCATAACGACCTTGATTTAACGAATTTCTCGTGATTTCGGCTAAAATAAGACACCTCAATATAACAAATTTATCATTGTCAGAACCTCTACATTGCGAATTTAACCTCTGCATAACGAATTGTCTACGTCTTTCCCTTGATATAACAAATCCCCCACCCCAGTATTGTTTTTTGGAAAATCTGTTTCTTTATCAAATGAAATGGAAAGGTGACGTCAACGCTTGCGCTAACATTCGTCTGCTCCTTGCACATCTCTCTGTCTGCTGTCGCTGCGCACGCAATGTTGCAACTGAGAACTGATTTCATTCACTGAGGACTGATGACGACGTAATCTGTAGTAAGCTGTGATTGGGTGATAAGTAAATATGGGGAATTGTACAGTTTTTGGATAAAGAAAAATCTAAGAAAGAATTTAAAAACAAAAGCAAAGAGGAAGAATAGCAACATCGTTATTTTAACATTCCTTAATTTACGAGTGTTTTTATTATCTTTAACTTGGCTATGAATATGCACTTTTATAATGACTTATCTAATAATTTATTGTTCTCTATACGATTTGTTTCAACTAGCAACGCCAATGCTATAGTTAGTGATTATTATTGACATTCCTCAGTTGTGATAAATCAGTACTGTACTGTAAGTAGCCTACCGGCCTATCACGGAGCAGTCAGTAGCTTACAAAACTTTCTACTGTTTTGTTTTGTTTTTTACATGGCTTATGACTACGCAATGTATTGTTTGGCTAGGTTTTAGGAGGGTTAGAACAAGCTGTGATTTTTAAACTTACAGTTTTTAACCTGTACCGAGGTCAATGCCATTGTCATGATTGCGCAATATTCAAGATCCCTCACCTTCATTATGCCGGATAATTTAGGTTCTACCATTGACTATTGGATACAGAAGGTTCTACTGTACAATGAACACTGTACTGTTAAGTATTGTAGCCTATGCTACTTTAATTGTGTTTTAATGAGGTCAAATCCCGGCCTATATTGACCGACGCTGGTTCTGAACCTCGACTTAGCGAAATTCCTGCAAACCTAACCTCTATATAACGAACCTCATTTTAACGAAATCCTTGATATAACGAATATTCAGTTCGGTCCCTTCAGATTCGTTATACTGAGGTTGGACTGTATATTAATGTAGATATTACACAGAAATAGTCCTTTTACGTCTTATTTGTACTATATTTTTAAACCATCCCAAACCACCTATAGTCCGTGAGGTTGGCGAAGGACTCTGAGGGATTAATGTCCCTTCCACCAACGCACGCGCACTCACAAGCAGGGCCCTACCTACCCCACGGCGCGGGACCCATGTGTGTTTGTAGGTGTATCTATGTGTGTGTGAGGGCTGTAATCCCTTCGAGTCCTTCGCCTACCTCACGTACTATATTCCTGTAGAAAATTATGAAAATACAATAAATGGAACTTGCCTTGGTGTTGTGCCTTGTATAGGTTTCTCCACTGCTTTTCTAACGATCAGTCCCGTTATACAAGAGAAGACTAGCCATAGGAAGATAAACCTCCACCATTGGTTTTTTAGACACATTCCTAAAGGGATGATCCACATTCCAAACAGCGTCGCCAACTGTTAAACACAAGAATAATGTAATTAATTTTGTTTTGCTTTAATAAACTGGTAACACTGAAGAGAGCTTACATATCACATATTGTTACTCGCTTTTACCTTTTACCTTGGTCCCCTTCACCGTAGTCGTAGAGACTAGGGAATCGTCAACTTCTTTTTTTATTGTTGTGTCATTGTAGTTTTTGGTATTTGTGTATATGGCATGGTGTATATTGGGTTTGTTTTGTGGCCTATCTTTATGATGAACAGTGTGCTCTTTGAAGAATTCATCTAATTTGTACGGTAGAACCTCACTAATTCGAACCTTGATAATTCGAAAACCTTTATAATTAGAAATGTTCGTCATTTCCCCTCAGAAAACCTCTAGAATTTGAAAAATAATATACCGATAATTCAAAGTTATTTTACGCTTAAACTGCAGTCTCTACAATTCGAATTTTGTTGCCGTAAGCCTCTGTAATTTGAATTCAGGACAAAAAATATGCCTGTCGAAACATGAACTGAAGCACTGAACTGATGTATTGATGTTCCCACAATGTGTTAATTAGTGTCAGTTTTCTCAAAGTCTCTACACTTCAAACTGGGACCTCCATAATTTGAATTTTATTTATTCTTACCTCTATAAATCAAACTCTGTATTTCAAACTTCCCATGATTAAAAATATATTGTCTTTCCTCTGAAATTCGAATTAGCGAAAGTCTACTGTAGTACGGTTTTTGGGTAGGACATTCTTTGAACGTTTTAACCAGTTTTTGGAATTTTATTAGTTTTAGCGAATTTCCCATATAGGGAATAAGCTATTACCGTAGTACTCACGGTAAGACCTGGACCCGGGACCGATTTCTTTTTTCGTTTTGAGGTCCCTAGAGGTCAAAAACACCATCCGTTCAAATTCATATATATATATATGTGTCCGTTAGCGCGATAACTCGAGCAAAAATGATCCGATTTTGATGAAATTTGGTACAAACGTGTAAACCTACGTTTATTCGAACGAGTTCGCGAACCAGCATGATCGGACCATGGGAACGGGGGTTTATGGGGGCTTTTATGGGGAAAAAATGGGTTTTTCCCATTTTTGACCCAAAAAACATAAAATTTTGCAATTTCTTTTGAAACTATTTTGTAGAGCTTAAAAAAACAAATAATTTAGTATATTGAAGCGTTATAATGCGCCTAATGGTTACGGAGAAAATTCCAAAAAATTGTAAATTTAAAATTCCCATGTTATTCTTATGGAGAATAAGTAAACTGTTGTAGTTTGCTTGTTTATAAACATATTTTGCCCAAATTTGGAAAATGTTTTTATTTCTTACTAACTATTAACATTTTACATAAAAAACACTTTTAACCTCCCTGTTGCAGCAAACCTAAGTATGTTTTAAACTGATTCTATTTAAATAGGGAATAAATGTGATAATTTTAAGGAGACATTTTAGTGTAAATCCATTCAGGGAAATGGAAATTCGCTTAGTCTGCAGGTTTGCTGCGGCGGGGGTATTTTATGTTCTGGGAGAGCATAAAACATTTTTGATCCCGATTTGGTTTGGAGTATTTTACTAGTTTTTGACAATGGGAGATCTATTAAATCCACATTGCTTGCCACTTACTCTCTAGCAGCTCCATACCATGTTTGTAGAGCTAGTTTTTTCAATGTATTGATTCGTGTGTGTGTTTCGGACCATGTTTCTTGTACTCTGTGTTATTTAGAACTTCTGACAAACTCCACCATGAGGAATTTGTAAATATCAGCTGACATTATGAAATGAAGTGCTCAATTCACAGCATGAAACTGCTGTAGTTGTTCAAATTACACAGGATCGTTTTTACAGTAATCCGATAATTTAAACCTTCATTAGTTAATACTGGAACCGATATCACGATAATGAATTAGTAAAAACTGGTCTCTCCAGTTGAAATTTGGTTTAGGTACAATTTAAACCCATTTGGATGAGCTATGCTTGTTAAATAGTTGGAAATAAATGTAATCATTATTATTTTAAGTGGCCAATATGTTGGACTTTCAAACTGAAAGGGATGACATTTATTTCTATGCTGACAGAGTTTAGTCTTTGACTAATGATACAACTAGTATTCCATTCCCATGTTAAAGTTGTTGCCAGTTTTTAAATCAAAATTGTCGTAGTTAATGTGAGCCACCGACAGACTGCGCTGATCTAAATTACTAATTTCTGAAAACAAGAACATTTACCAAGTCAAACTAGTGGAATAACTTATTATGAGCTATAGACACGGTTATAACCCATCAACGACGTCAATGACAAAATGTGAGGTACAAAATACAATTTTAGATACTAACACATTCTGCGTCTGGCTCACAAAACTATGATCTTTTCAAATAAAAAGTTGGCGACAGCTGATCCATTTCCAACAGTCAATGGTTTAGGCCAAAAAAGCTAGTTAGCTAGGCCTACAACTGGTAGTTTTGAACATTTCTAGATAGAAGTAACTGTCGTTACAGGGTAAACATAATCCAGACTTTACTAGAAAAAGGATTATTGCTAAGTTTACTAACCTGATAAGATTTTTGGTGTCGCTTTTTCCATTCTACTAAAATAACCTGAGCAACTATCACTGTGATGAGAAGGATAAAAACCATTTCTGTATGCATCGCTTCGTGTCCTTTGTGTTTCTCGTGCATTTTTATGTGTTCTAATCTGGATAAAAAATGAGATTAGAGATAGGCTACATATCAGTGCAGATAGAATTAAAGTTACATCGTAAACATCACCAGCTTCCTGGTTATGAGAGAACAGACAAGACAGCAAATCTGAAAGTGCTTCGACTGGATTGAATAGTATAGGTTAAATCATATTACGGAAAGCTGTTGGCCAGTGAAAGGACAAATAACATTGTAAGTACTGGCAACAAGCAAAGAGTAACTAAATGTACATTTAATTAATAAATAATTTGTAGAAATATATCAAGGCACACTTAAAAGGTTCTGTTTCGTTAAATTTTTAGACCTATGGAAACAAGAAAAACTTACCTTCTCATTTCTTCAGGTGTTAATGCTAGGTCATCAGTCTGAAAGTTACAAATTTTAATGTTATTGATTTTGTAGGTATAAGTTAGGCTACACATATTTAGCATTTTTGACATTTAAACAATTTTTTTTATGTCCCGCCTTCTCATCCTAGGTATACCTTAGCTAGGTTCTAGCCCTGAACTTTTTTACACATGACTTCAGGCTAGTTCTAGCAGGTCGCGAAATTATCACATGGATAAACCCCATTGGTGATAGACGGGATTTGAACCTGGGACATTGGACAATGAGAGTTATAATGCCTGCAGTACACTATAGCCGAATGTAGGCGAACTAAGACGAACGCGATAATGTACTCGGTGTGCTCCGTGTACATTTGGGGTACATTTGTGTTCGGGTGCACTCGCTTTTTTGGCGGTCTCTTGTCGCGAATTAAAGGAGACGAACTAGGACGAATGCTGAGCGCAGACGGGCACGAACGTAGCCAGTACACACTTGCTGCCATTTGTAGTCACGGACGCTCTCTTTATACAGTATTTACTGCAGTAGATGTGTAATTACAGTTACTAATAGTTTTTGTTATTTAATTATTTTCTACTACAGTAGAACCTCTTTAATCCGAACTAATTGGGACTGGGGGTAGTTCGGACTATTGAATAGTTCGGATTACAGAAAATATTGTTGTTTTTACATAACAATAGCTAGGGAAAAGTGAAAAATGCTTTATAAAGTAAAATACCTACATTGTTTATTTTATACAGTTGTAAACATAGGGAATAAACAGTACTGTACATTACAATTGAAATAATTACGGTGCGTATATCAATAAATAACTACTGTACTGTGTATAGAGTACAGCAATGAGGCGTTCGGATTAGTGGACGTTCGGATTACAGGGGTTTGGATTAAAGAGGTTCTACTGTAGATCTTATATAGATAAATTAATTGTACGAAGTATAGAGTGTTCTAATGAGGAAACGCTGTTATTTTTGGAACTATACTATAGTGAGCCTGTTCTGTGGCCGTGGTATAATTTAATTGAATAATTACATATATAAAGTATCGCTTAGTAAAACAAACATAAAAAAAAAACAAGCATTAATTTTAAATTATTAAGCCACTGAGAAGTAAGAAACTTAGGATACATTCAACTGGTGTCAACACCAAACGGAAATTATAGAATTTCTTCTATAATTATCTAGAATAGTCTTCGACGTTAACGTCCATGTTGCACAAAGTTTGGTACGAATGTTTCGCCGCGAATACACAATATTGGGTTCAGCACAGTTCGGCCGAAGTTAGCCAATAGTGTACTTGGTTAGTTCGGACTGCTCATTCGTCAACATTCATGGTCGCAATCTGACCCGAACATTTGGGGAAACATTCAGGCGAATGTTCGGCGATAGTGTACTGGTAGCTTAAAGGTTGAGACATAACATCATTGTGAGAATTCAACAACAAGGCATCTTGATTTTTTCGGTGTAACTTAGCACCTTCATAACACGAACCTAGCTTATTTGAAAAACTCGATAACTAAAATTTTTATCACAGGCTACTCCCTTTAGATTTGTTAATATCGAGGTGCTATATACTGTTCTTAATATTGAATCGTCTTAACAAACTATCCTTCTAGAATCCAGGACATGGTTGATTGAAGGTTTTTTCTAATAAGAACGGTTACAAGAATACATAATAACCCTAAAAAGTATAGTTTATTGTCAAGTTCATGCCTAAATAGGCCTAGTAAATTAAGTTATTGTTAGATGTTTTGACCTAGGCCTATTCTTACTGAGGTCTATACTTTATACTTACTTAATTTGAGCGTGGTTATAGAGTAGGTACTAGGAACTGTATTCTTGTAAAGTTATAGATGGGATATTGAAATTTAGAACTTTAAATACTAATCTAATGGTACTTTTTAATATAAAGTAAAATTAAATGTAATAAACCTCTCTAATGCAGCCGAAAATATTTATAGGTTATGTGTAGGTACTAAAGCCGCATAAAAGAGTAAACTAGTTTCATCGAAAAACTTATTATCTAGGGTTATAACTAATGTTAGTTGTTAACTAATTACATTGTTTACTTGTAAAATATTGACTTCTCCTGGAGAATCCATTTGGAAACAAATACAGATTTAAGACGGATTTATACAGAAACAGACAGACAGAATCAGAATGACATTTTTTATTTTTTCATGTCATCACATCTTCATCTCAGCTCAGATGGTTTTTTGTTGTTTATTTGAAATCACAGTTGAAAGAAGCTAGTTATCCACCTCTCTAGTCATTGGTGCTTTATGCTAACTTTATTTTCATATAACAAATGCCCCACCACAGCAGACCTGCAGACTAAGCGAATTACAACTTGTTTGATTACATTTTTACTAAAATACCAATAAATAAGACATACTTTTCCCAATTTAAATAACATTATATTTAACGAGTACTTAAGTTTGGTGCTACGGGGAAGGTAAAAACAGTGTTTCTGGCCAAACGTCAATTATATGGGATGAAATAGATAAATTTAGAAAAGTTTATCAACATATATCCGTAAACAACAAGTAAACAACAATTACAGCGGTGTGCGCCAGAGCCACTGAGCTAAAATTATAACTGGAGGTAGCACTGCCATGGCAGAAGTCTGTCAAGCGAGTCGCTGATTTTGTTAGGTTGGTATAGCAGTAAGTTTTCTTGCCATAGCAATAACATGGCTTCTTATAACTAGGTTGGTATAGCAGTGAGTATTTTTGTCATACTTGAATACTTTTAATACTTTAATAATATTCTTTGAAATGGCGACCATACAAAGTAGGTATTTTAAGCCAAGTATAATAATAGCCATAGCAATAATATGGCTTCTTATAACTCACACCTCACGCAAACATGGCGGCTGGCGACACGCATCTTTGACATTCAGTGCTACCTCCAGTTAGAATTATAGCTCAGTGGTCAGAGCCCAGAACATATAGACTATAGTAACCGCAGCACAGCTGACGGTCTATTAATTCTTTTGTCTATGATACCGTAATACAGCAAAGGTAATACAGTATGTGGACGGCCCCTAATGAAAGAGAGTATGGCGCTCTAGATTTAATGTACTAATTATTTTGTCATTGTTTTGAATGGTTGAATTTGAATACAATCAACTGGGGTAACTTTTTAACCACTTTTTTAGATTTTCACAAATGTTTTAAGACTAATTAATCAATAAATACTTTAACTGTACCTATATCAAAATATGGTATGTCCGCATTAAAGGCATAATTAATAACAATAAAGTAATTCTTACTTATTATAATCAATTACCTACTTAAAATGGTGGTAGAAAGTTATAATGGCATTGGGGGTACTTTGTGCCAAGTCATGGATTTTTACTATTTAACTTTTTTTATCAATGCTAAGATAGTTCTCATTTACTGGGGTAACTATAGACCACTTAAATATATTATTTGTCCTACATCAGTCGTCTGACAAAGTGGCATTCCATCTTCCTTACACTTATTATAGTACAGGAAGTTGCTAATTGCTGCATTTACTTACTTTTGCCGCACTCCAGTATTCCAACCAAACACACAAAACAGCGTGCTTTTATTAGGCACGCAACCCGTGTACGCTTGAAAATAAGTTGGCAACACTTAAAGATACTAGGACTACGATTAGCTGGTGCAGCGTTAAAATTTCGTTCAATGCTTGGATTAAACCCAACCTAAAAACGTGTTGTTTAAAGTTTGAAAAACAATTATTTATATGATTTACAACTATAGGAAACAGATAATGAGCAACATAAATCTAAAGTTCCTTTGCTGCACTCCAGAAACTTTCCACACTTGCCTGCGGCTCGTTCTTAAAAAGTTCTCTCATGCTCAGCAAAGTACCACTTCGCACACTAATTACACATGTCTATTTTTGACTGAATTTATTTTACAATCTGTAATATAAATTTTTAGAATAATAAAAAAAATATTTTAAACTGTTTTTTTATTTCAAATGTATATGATTATGAATAAATTTTTAAAACATCTTTAACAGAGCAATTAAAATTCTTTGTGGCGCGGTCCAATGGTCCAATTAAAATTCTCGTCCTGTTGTGATCCTGATACATTTTTTGATGCGTTTGATCTGTTTCTTAAGGAGCGGGTTGTCACTCATTATTGATCGTATGAAAATAATAAAAAACTAGTGTCATATAGGGACATAAGTTCCTTAAACGCTAAAATGTAAAAAACAAATTACTGTATTATCTAAACAAACTAAGAATTAAAATGATCTCTTAGCAGCAGCTATAAAAATTGTGAGTTTCTTTTTAGATCACTTTAATGAAGCCAGAATTTATCTCAATTATTTCGTTGATTAGTAAACAAACTTCACGCACTCTATCGATAGAATTAAAAGTAGGATACAAATTGTAATACATTTGTAATCATGTTTAATGTAAACAAAGCAGACGTTTTAAATCACAATACATTTTAAATTGAAGATATTTTTCGTTATTTATTATTTTCTGGTAGATATGGACATAATCTACTATTTTTCTCGATCCCCAGGGACCAAGACCTTTAATTTGAGCCCTCTCCCATTATACTGCGAGCTGTCAAACTCTCACAATTTTGGATTTTAAAAAATGCCTAAAAAATTAATAATAAATATTATTGTATTTTTCTAAAGTGGGTAAAATGGGTTGAGTTTTCCTAAAGTTGGATATTTCGAAATCCTTTTAATGAAATATGTTCTTAGTAAACTGTTAATGTCTTTGAGTTGTTAATCTATATATTAATTTGAAACTGTTTTTCTTTGTCATAGTTATTTTGAGAGAACGGCTGGGCGTAGAAACTCGGTAGGGGTGTCTAAAGAAAGGTCTTGGTCTGTAGATGAGCCATCAAAAGAGAAACGTGGTAAATTCCCTCGGGGCTCTGCCCCAGTGGCCTTTAAAGTCCCATCCCATGTTATTCTTATGGAGGAAAACAGTTTTTGTCACAGCTAATTTGAGAGAACGGCTGGGTGTAGAAACTTGGTAGGGGTGTCTAACGAAAGGTATTGGTCTGTAGGTGAGCCCTCAAAAGAGAAACGAGGTAAATTTCCTTGGGGCTCTGCCCCAGAGGCCTTATAAGTCCACTCAGCAATTTTGTTTACATTATGATCATATGGATAATTTTACACTACTTTTAATGAACCAACTGTTAATATTAAAATTGTATTCAAAGGTCTACTGAAACTGTCAAAATTAAATGTTTACATTATTATTTATGATTTTAAAATGATTCTCCACTGCATGGTAAGTTTTTTATAGTTTCAACAAAATGATGAATTTATGATACGTTTTAAATGTTTTGTTCAAAAATCTATGCTTTATTGCTCTTAGAAAATGTTAAATTATGAAATAAGTGTGACATATCATTTTCAAAGGAACATATAATTATTCCTTATCGGGTTAGCTTATGTATTGTAAGGTTGGCACTTGCCTTTTTTTCCTACTTTGAATCACCATTTATTTTTCAATTCAAGAGAGAACACCACAAATTCATTTATTGGTATGAAAGTTTTCGATAATCGGGTGGAAAATTGTGTCATAGATGAGTAACTTGCATTGAGGATGAGAGCTGTGTTCAAGTTTTGGAATAGACTAACTACGGAGTATGTTTCATCTATGGTTTTGGTGAAGTAGGTGAACTAATGTCAATTCAGGTATTTAAAAAAAAAATGTGCAGGCCTACAGGGTTTTTACTTTGATGTACACATGTAGCTAGGTCGAACAACGCATCTAAACCTCACTACATACAACACATTCGGAAACACAACAGTGTCATCACATCTCATCGCATTTGCATAATTTGTTACCAAGGCTGGACTAGGTTATGCATTTGGTTCCACAAATGTTCAAGATTTGTGATCAAATTTCCTACAATTATGGTTCATTCCATCCACGAAAAACATTCACAGCTTTATGTGGTCGATATGGCCAGGCAAAACTACCCCATAAGTTAATGAATTATCAAGTAAGAACAGGATGATTAAATACATGGGTCGATGTGGCAAGAGAAGGAATTAAAATTGCTTGGATTGAAGTAAGAATGTTACTGCTATCTGGAAAATCAGATATTTTTATCAAATACAGAAAAAAATCTATCTATCGCAGTTAGCTGAATTTACATAAAACCTCAAGATTAACCGTCGATTTCGATGGGGTTCCACTAGTATTCTTATGAATTTGAAACTTTAGTTTACGTTAGCTACATTTATAAGAGTTGGTAAAGCGGTTGTCGTGTCAGAGTGTGGCAATGCTACGTGACACATGTGGCGTGTTTTTGGTTGTCGTATCAGCACAGTAATGGCGTCAACAACTAACCGATGTGTCAGCGTCTGGAGTCCAGCTGTGCTGCTGTAACTGCTCTTCGTTCCGTTTCCTGTGGAAAACTGTCAAAAGTCAAAGCTAACTCATAAACAAAAATACCCCAGCAGCAAACCTGCAGACTAAGCGAATTTCCATTTGCATGAATCGATTTTAAATGAAATCTATTTAATTTAGGTTCAACAAGTAGCTTTACAAAAACACTTTGGCATACTCAATTATTTGTTTTTTAACCTCTTTATAATGGTCTATAGGTTTATTGGTTTAGGTCTATTGGTAAATTTTTTGTTTTGAGGGTCAAAAATGAGAAAACCTAATTTTTACCCAACAAAACCCTGTTTCCATAGCCCGATCATGCTGGTTTGCGAACTCATTCAAGTTTATCCTGCCTTACAACTTCAATCCAAATTTCATCAACATTTGGAAAAAAATTACTCGAGTTCACATCGCGTTCACGGACGTATATAAAATGAAGAAGTATATCGGCCCCGGCTCCAGGTCTTACTGTGCCACCTACGGTTATAGCCATCAAAAGTATTTTTATTTTGTAATTTATATACATTTTTTATTTGTCTTATTTTGAACCATAGTTGATCTTTTCACGTAATTTTAAAGGTAACGGTCAAACCCCTGGTCTTGTTACTCTTGTTACCATCTTCACCTTTCCCAGATTTATTTAAGAAGTTATTAACTGTATTTGAGAATAACTTTATATTTGAGAAAATATCAACTGTAAATCTGATTAGTCGCAGTTGAATTTGAGAAAGTATTATAAGGAATTGAGAAATAGTTAATTTCATTTCAGAATGAGGGCTTTTAATTTGAGAATTTGGCTATTAATAAGCTAAAT